GTAGTGGCCCCCACGGCGTGAGCGGGAGCTGGAGCGCGAACTGGAGGAGGAGGTCGAGGATGGAGAGGACGAGGATGAGGATGAGCGCCTCCTGTAGGGGACAGAACACAGTGCGGGGTCAGCTCAGGCAGGTGGGTGAGCCAGGGTCCTGCATGCAGCGCACAGCAGGGGCCAGAGACTTGAACCAGCCTGGAAGGAGAAGGGAGTTAGCAAACATGTGGCACCAGTCACCCAGAGCCCTGTCTTGTCCTGTCCTGTCCACCTCCAGCTGGGAAGTGTACTCTGCGCCAGCCCTGCCTGCAGGCTCTTTGGGACTAGAAATCATGTCCGGCTGAACCACGGCCCCAAGGATGCAGCACAGCTCCCCCCCACACCCACTCCCTGTGCTCAGAGCCATGAGGATCAGGCTGCAGGGGCTTGGATTCTCTTGGGGAGCAGGTGACACCACACCTCAGTCCCACGCACTGCTCCATGCACCCCCGAGAGACCTCCCCACCCAGTTCACTTGCAAACCATACAGGGAAGGCTAGAGACTGCCACTGCTCCCTGCCCTATTGGAAGGAAGCAGGCCTTGGGCCTCTGGCTGGCTAGAAGAGGATGTGGGTCTGGCTCCAGCCACATCCAGCTCCAACAGGGAAGCATCAAGTTCAAGATCACAGCCCGCACAAGGGAAGACCCAGGGAGAGCAAGGCTGGGTGGCCTCTCAGGGTCTGCACTTTACCCCCACCCAGCGTCAGGCCTGCAGGACCTCCACCGAGGACCAGGGCTGTCACCTCCCCGTGCTGTGGCCCTGGGCCACAGGCATGCACAGGATGAGGGGCGCTGAGAAAGGACTCTTGGCCCCAGTTGCCCTGCAGCAGACAGGGCATCAGGTAGGGGGGCAAGAGCTCCTGGCTCCTCCCTCAGGGCTGGGTGGAGAGGGGAAGGGCAGGGAGTGCAGGGCTGGAGGGAAGAGGGACAAGTGGAGGAGAGGGTCCCTTTCCAGCTGCCGGATCCCATGTGGCCTGAGAGCTCACCCTCCCAATGGGGCACAGCCCCTCTTTGCAGCTCCAGGACAGGCTGCTTCCCTGCTCCCCGCAATGTCCAATCTAGGACTGGGCCCAGCTTTCCAAGGGCCTCAGCCTCTTGCTTTGCTCAGGATCCTGGAGAGCCCTGGACTGGGCCCCCAGCACAGGCCTGGCCAGGCTGTGGCAGAGCAGACAGCAAAAGGGCAGCTGGAAAGGACTGGATGCCGAGAGCTCCCTGGGCCAGTGCCTGAGGGGGCAGGTGGCCTCGGCGATGGGCTGCGGCCTCGCTGGGTCTCAGTTAAGGTTGGGGGAAGCACACTGGGCGGGCGAGTTACCGACCGGGAGGAGGCGCTATGACCTGCCGCAGCGCCACCCGGCTGCGCTTGGCTGGCACGCTGTCTGCCGGGGGGGGCTGCCTTCCCGGGGGCACCACCGGCCTGTGCAGACGCCGCCTCCTCGTCGCTGCCCCCAAAGCTGGTGATGAACGTGATCTTCTCCTCCTGGCCCAGGGAGGGTGAGCGGGACCGGGAGCGGGACTCCGAGCTGGATTCTGAGGGTGACCTACAGGGAAAGGGAGGAGCGAGGGTCTATTCACTGTGGGGGTGGAACTCCGAGATGCCCCTGACTGACTGTACGTGTGCAGACCTAGCTGGGCCCTGCCTAGGCTGCACCCCAAGAGAACCCCAGTGAGCCCCCTTGGACCTGCCCTGCACCCTCCTGCCTGGGGTGCAAGAAATCACTCCTGCCACCCACCACCACTCACCGCTTGTAGGGGTCATAGGTGGGGCTGTCCCTCCGTGCGTAGCTGCAAAGAGAAAGCACATCAGGGAACCTGTGGTGCAGCATCAGGCTGGAGGCCTCCCCTCAGAGGGAGGCTAAGTGGGGCAGCACGTTGCTACCCTCCCTCTCCGTGGGAAAGTCCTCTCCCCTCGGCTTCCACATACACAGACCTGAACCCTCAGAGCCCCTGCCTGAGTGTCGGCCTCCTGGCCGAAGAATAAAGAGCAGGACTAAGAGAACAGCAAGGTACCAGGCTCCCAGACAAGACCAGAGGAAAAGGGGGAGCATCTCTGGGGCTCAGAGCAGACTTTGCCCTGAGGGGACCCCTTTACCGCACCTCACATGCACTGGAAAAGATGAACGTGAAGGAGCAGAAGCTTTGAAAGCAAATGCGGCACCTACCTGTAAAACAGGCCCCGGCTCAGCTGAGCCCTTGGCCACGGGATGCTTCCAGGGGCACAGAGCACAGCCCTGTCCAGGCCCGTGGCCAGCCTGCCCTGGCAGGACACGTGGCCTGAGCCAGTGGCGTGAAGTAACTGTTTGCAGAGCAAGGAGGCCCCTGGCTTGGGGTATGGAGGAGGCTGCCCCAGGCAGTGCCAGGCCATGACTGCTCTCCAACAAGCCCGGGACTGTTGCTAGGAGAGCATTTCACCTTCACAGCCTCACCTGGGAGGGCTGATCTTCCTTCCCTTTAACCGCTTCTCCCGGAACTCCCTCCTCTGGCGGCGAGAGCGACGGCCCTGGAAGGGAATGGCCCAGAGCTGAGCTGCCGGAAGAGAAAGGCTGCCAAGCCCTGTGCTCAGCCAGCAGGCAGAAGTCCATCTGCTCCAGCTCAGCACAGGCAGGCTATGGGTGGGGGGTGGGCCTGATTACTCCAGCCAGGTCTGCCCAAGCCCCCTTTCCACCGCACTGCTTGCACTCCTGAAGTGGAACCCCTGAGAGCTCCGGGGCTCTGCAGATGACAGCATCTCTGGGCACGGGACACGCAGGGCTGGGGCTGTGGCCCACCTGAGACACCCCCAGGGCTTCCATACCGAGTACATAGCCTTCTCCTCCTCCAGGGCCTTGGCGTGTTTGATGGCTTCTGCCTCCTCCTTGTCCTTGCGCAGCATCCTGCCAGGAATGGAGAGATGCTGAACAGGGCCAGTGACTGCAGAGCCTCCCCTGAACAGTCCCAGCTGGGCTGGCTGATTCCTTCTGACCCAGGTCTGGAAAGCAAATGCCTCCAACTCCCTGGCCCTGGCCACTGTCTTCAAGCACCTGGCTTCTCAACAGGAGAATCGTGCTCTTGCTGGATCTCCCACCAGGGTCAAGCACTGGGTGCTGGCAGGACAAATGGTGCTCCAACCCAGCACAGCCCCTACAGCAGCAGTGGGGTCTTGGCTGCACTCCAAAGAGCTGGGGTAACACCAACCTCTCCGTGCCAGGAGGGCCATGCGCTGCCGCCCCCCCCCAAGCTAGCACTTCCCATGGGAGGGGCACCTGCTAACCCAGCAGGGCTGGCCACAGTGGCACCATCCTCCCACCAACCCCAGCCTATCCAGCCCTGCACATCTGAACTCCCACAAGGCAGCAGTGACTTTACACCAGCCAGCACTACTGGGGCCCAAGGAGCTGCCAACCTCCCTTCCCACTGGCCCTACCTGACGAAGTCCCCCTCGGCCATGCCGTACGTGGTTGCCTGCTTGTTCAGGTCAGCCACCTGCTCTTGATTCAACTCGTCCACATCCACTTCCACATCTGCAAGCAGAGCACGGGGTCAGCACACGGTCGCAGGCCACACAAGAGGGCTGCCAGGCCATGCCATGCCAAGGGCAAAGGCATGTTGCCTGAAAGCTGCTGGCCATACAGCAGGGGTTCGTCTCTGGCACCGAGGAGGTGACATGACACATAGGACCCAGGAGCACAGCTGAGCCCCCTTCCCTGAAACAGAGCAGCTTCAGCCACCAGGGCTGGGTGGAGCAACTGCAATGGGGCCCATGACTACTCCACTCCAGGGAAAGACGACGCGTCACAGGCAGAACTGAGACCCCCCCACAAACCCCAATTAAAAGAGTAGGCCAGAGGCTCCCAGGGCAGGCATATAGAGGCAGCATCCTGCAAGACAGCACTCCCCCAGGCCTCCTCGCATGCAACACAGGTGTCAGGAGTGACAGGAGCCAGGCCCAGCAGCTGGATGCCCACAGGCACAGGGGAAGTCTCCCCTGGCTAAGTAGAACCCCAGGTAGGGCTGTCGAGCCGCACCAATGTCGGGGATGACCTCGTCTTCGTCCGTGTTGCTGTCCTCCTCCGAGTCCTCCTCATCCCCCCGCTTCTCCAAGGAGTTCTCTAGCTCGGCCACTGTGCTGTCCTCGTACGTGTAGCCAATAGAGGCCTTCTTCTCTGCCAGCCTGCAGAGACGCTGCCTGTTACCACGCGGTGCTGGGGCACAGCCAGCTGGTGCCAGGCACCCCTTTAGCTGCTCTGTGCTTGCCATGATTGGGCAGCTGGAGGCTGGGCCTACCCCTGTCCTCCAAGAGCTGGCGATGAACCCCTGTGTCACCACTGCCAATCAGCAGAGAACTGTTCCAGAAGAACAGTCACCTCCTCCTCCCCCTCCAGCCTCAGCACAGACCTACTGTCCCTACCCATGTCCATGCTAGGACAGACCACCACAGCCACAGGGAAGCCCAGGGCTGGCCTGTCATGGCATTTTCCTTCCCTTCTCCTCCCCTTGGTGAATCCCCATCCTGCAGGGCAGAGATTTCTCTCACTCAAGCCCAACAAGGGCTTCCACGAGCTGCTGGTGCTCGAGCAAGCACAGCTGTCACAGCCATAGGAGCGTCCCAGGGCACAGAAAAAGTCTTGGTCTTTATGGAGGAAGCCAGGACACATCCTGCCTGGCCAGTAAGGGGATGGACCGCTCAATGGCACTGCTCCCTGGGGAAATTGCTTCCCCCTGAAGCAATAGATGCATTTCCAGCCCCACGGAGCAGAAGCCTGACTGAGGTGGCCACGCATGACCTGAGGGGCTCCCTTGGGGAACCCTGCGACAGAGCAGCCCAGCATCGCGCCCAGGGCCTCCTCTGCCCCCAGCCCACACTCACTTCTTCTTCTCGTCTTCATTGGGCTTCTGGAGTCCGCCGTAGAGTTCATCGATGTAGATCTGGTACAAGCACTGCTCCTCTGAGACTGAAGCACACACAGACAAGCACAAAAGTTACAGCCTGGCAGCCATGTGAGGGCCAGGGAAGGCCTGCAGGCTGCAGCAGAGCTGGCCAGCAGGGAACAAGGGAGTCCTATAGAGGCAGCCCAGGGAGAGGCAGCTGAACGCTGCTGTCCCCAGCTGGCACAGGAAACATATGCTCATCCCCTCAGCTGCCATCCAGCACAACTCTCCCCATCCCAGTCAAGGCCTGGAGCCGGGTGGGCCACAGGGACACCCACCCCTTCCCCATAGAGGGTCCAGGGCTCCATCAGGAACCTCACCCCACTGCCACGAGCTGCTGCTCTCCCTTGGGCTCAGAGACCTCCCCACCCCCCCCACTTACTGCCAGCAAAGTCGTTCTGCACCAGGCCACGGTAGCGTTCGTAGTTACATTTCCTCTCATCTGACTCCTGCTCGGGGGAGCTGGGGAGAGAACATGCATGCTGGCACCAGGGGCCCCTAGCTGCACACAGGCTACTTCTGCAGCCACCAGCCCATCCCCAGAGTGAGTCTGATGTCTGAGGCACTCTCGGACGCTGGACCAGAAAGCAACAGTGGTGCTATCCATAGACTTGGTCACTCAAGCACCTGTGGGCTGTCCCAGGCAGCTGTTACTGGAGCCTACTGGAAACTCCCAGGCATGGGGCCAGGTGACCCTCAAGGGTCCTTCCAACTCACTGACTCCATGATTGTCTCCCAACAAGACTGAAGCTGTTGAAACCATCCCCTCACATACCCTGCCCCACCCTGCACTGTTTAACATCTTCATCAGCGACTTGGACGAGGGGGTGGAAAGCACACTGTTCAAGTCTGCTGATGACACTAAGATGTGGGGCGAGATGGACACACTTGAAGGGAGAGAGAGGCTGCAAATAGATTTAGACAGACTACAAAAGTGGGCAGATGAGAATAGGATGGGGTTCAACATAGATAAATGCAGGGTGTTGCACCTTGGGAGAAGGAATCCACAGCATACATACAGGCTGGGGAGTTCCCTTCTTGAAAGCACAGAAGCAGAAAGGGATCTCGGAGTCATTATTGACTCCAAGATGAACATGAGCCACCAATGCCAGACCGCAGCCAGCAAGGCCAGCCATACCTTGTCATGCATCCAAAGATGCATCTCAAGCCGGTCCAGAGGGGTGATCCTCCCCCTCTATGCAACTTTGGTCAGGCCGCAGTTGGAGTACTGCGTCCAGTACTGGGCACCGCACTTCAAAAGGGATGTGGCCAGCCTGGAGAGGATTCAGAGGAGGCCACCCGCTTGGGGAGAGGGCAGCAGGACCGGCCCTACAAGGAGAGACTGAGGGACCTGAACCTGTTCAGCCTCAGCAAGAGGAGGCTGAGGGGGGACCTGGTGGCTGCCTACAAACTCATCACAGATCAAAAGCAAATGGGCAGAGCCCTTTTCTCCCCAGCACCACCTGGGGTGACGAGGAACAATGGTAATAAGCTGATGAAGAATAGGTTTAGGTTAGATATCAGAAGGCAATATTTTATAGTTAGGGTGGCCAAAATCTGGAACCAACTTCCCAGGGAAGTGGTCCTCGCCCCTACCTTGGGAAAATTCAAGAGAAGGTTGGACGATCACTTGTCTGGGGTCTTGTGAACCCAGCATTCATTCCTGCCTGTGGCAGGGGGTCAGGCTTGATGATCTGTTCAGGTCCCTCCTGACCCTAGCAACTATGAAACCCCACCAGGCCTGAGGCATCACTGGGGCCCTGCCGGCTGGGTTGGACCTCTTCAGGATGCTGGGGGGCAGGTTCAGCTCCTGTTTGGCTCGAAAACGCTCAACACTGTGACTGGGGGCCCTGGCTGGTGGAATTCCCTTATTAAAGCCTGTCGTGCTCAACCTCCAGCCCATGGGCCAGATCCTGCCCCCAGGGCTGTGTTGCCCTGTGCACAGTGCTCCCTACAGATTTGGAGACTGAGGCAGGGAAGCAGCGGCAGCATTAATTAATGCTCCTCTGTTGCCTAATTTCTGGAGCCTTGCAGGTGATGTTGGCAGTTCACAGTGAGGCTGGCACCTGGGGCCACTGCATGGAACAGCCCCCACTTCTCATCCAGCCTGGGCGCAAAGGGGCTGGAAGTTTAACCCCCATTGATTAAAGCAGTTTCTAGTCCCCTGTTGGTTTGGTACAGCTGGGAGGACGTCCACGGGAGGAAGAACAGCGGGCAAAGAGAAAGATGACTGGCCCCTTACCAAGCAAGCGCACCTTGCAGACCGACCCATCAGCCCAGCTCTGCCACGGGGCTGGGGAAAGTGGGGGGACGACAACTGCACAGGGCGTGGGGAGAGGGGCAGCACGGAGCTGGCAGCAATTATGCTGCAGTGCCCCCAATGCCCAACCCCTTGTGCCAGATTTAGAGCAGCTGCTCCAAGAGAAGGAAACCCCGTGAGCACAAGGAAGCCTCCTCTGTACAGTCGGCTTCTGCGGACTTTGCACAAGGGTGGCTCTAAGGGCTCCAGAACCAGGGGAGCAGAGAACCTCAGTCCCCTCACCCTGCAGGAGCACAACTCCCTGTGTGCCAAGGCACCGTGTCTGGGAAAGCCCCAAGATGCCCGGGGGCCCTGTGGGGAGAACGTACCAGGGGACTCCTGCACAGTCCAAGTCAGGTTGGAGGAGGGGCAGGGGGAAATTCACGGGACTGCAAAGATCTCTACCCAACTGCATACCACAAGCACATGTGGGAGGGGGCAGCCAGGCCACCTAGACCCCAAGCAAGTCTCTGCTGTAAGAGCTCTTAGGAATTCTTCTCTCCCACAACCCAGCGATTGCCCTGAGGGAGCTAGCCGCACCCCGCAGGGGCACGAAGAACAGGGAACTCTGAAGCCCCGTTGCCTCACGCAGGTGGTCACGCAGCCACTGGTCCCCACCGGCTGGGGGGACGGGTGAGGAGGGGGCTTACATTGGGTTCATCAGCGGCGGGGTGTACATGGGGATATAATCCAGGTGAGCACGCACGTCAAATCGGTCGATCATGTTGTTTGTGTCCCCCTGCCAAGGCATCCTGCAGGGAGAGAGAGAGAGCCGGGGCAGTTAGGAGCTACAGCACGAAAAAGGGGCTAGGACACTACTTCTGCAGCTCCAGGGAGACCAGTGGCGCTCCCAGTCCTTGGGCACCTGGGAGGAGGTTTCGGGAGCTGCCCCTGGGGCACAGCACACAACAGGGCCCCACGTGGTCCTTGCCAGGGTCCACAGATCGGCTCCTCCTGGCCGGAGCCTCGCCCTTCCTCCTCGCACAACAAGCCTCCAGAACACGTGGGCTCTCTCCCAGCGGGGAGATGAGACGTGGACTGGTTTTGAAGGGCTGTGGGAGAAGCCTGCAGCACGTGGGGCCCCCGCTCCTCACGCAGGGAATGGCCCAGATTTGATTCTATTTTTAAACTAAGCTGCGAGGAGGGAACGCGTCCCCTGTACCAGCTGGCCCCTGTGCGCTGTTTCGAGCAGCAAAACACCACGAAGGGAAAGGAGCTAGAGCCAGGCAGCTGCACGAGGGAAGGCAGGGGGTGAGGGGGGGCCGCTGGACATGCTCTCCTTCCGGGGGGAAAACCCGGGCAGCGCGGGCTCCAAGTCAGCTCCCCCCGGCGCGGGACCCGCCAGCGCTGCGCCGGCCACACGGCAAAGCTACTCACATGTTGACAGGACTCTCCGCTGCCAAAGCCACCGCAGAATCCAAGTGCACCTTGCAGGCCCGGCCGTGAACCTGCAGGAACTGCGCCGGGTCCTTTTTCTGCAAAAGACACGCGGGCGTCACTCGTCCTGCCCGGGGGCGCCTCACCGCGCGGGCTGCAGAGCCCCGCAACGCTGAGGCGTGTCGCCGCGCCGCTGCGCGCCCTCGGACCAGCACGGGGCTGCTCCAGGCGCG